ATTATTCCCATAAAACAAAATTACTCCCAAAAAGTGATATTTCTGAACTAGGCTTTCAGCCATTGCTCATGTGGCAACTCTCAACTTTCTCAGGCACTTAGGACCATGTTTTCAACTGTGTTTTTTAGCACTCTTCTCTTGGGAGTTGAACTTGGTAAAGGTTTACACAGTCTCACCACTTCAACAGATACTGCAGGGGCACTTTTAATGCTAAAGCTAGCCACTGTTCTGCACTGAGCTTTGCATGCACAAGCTTGTGAAATACTACGCAGCGCATTCTTCCTTCGCACTGTTGCTTTGTAGTCAGCTCCCCTGTGATCTGTACACGACAATCTGTAAAGGAGGAGTATTGTACGGGAACAAGACCTCATTGGAAATCGGAGCACCCAGCGAAGTCCACGTCGTTGAAAAACAAATTTTGCTCGCAATCGTTGGTGGCTTCAAATCCCAGTGACTATGGCAAAATCAGGTGACCTACCCAAGGTCACCAAGTATCACCAGTATAAGTAACAGTATCACCCAGACTGCAAAGCTTGACACATTTGCTTTTATATATTCACTTGTCAGCTTATGGGGTAATGAAGGCTGTGAATTACAGTCAAATCAGGCAACCTTAAAAACCTTTAGTGCAATTATTTTTAGAAAAAATCGACATTTACAGCTAAAGGAAATAATGACGAAAGAAATAAATACCTGTATAAGCCTATGGTGGAACCATAATAAAACCTACTGTACAAGAAACAAAACCACGCTTAAAATGAATTCAACGATAGTTAAATGGGTCAGAAACATCTGGAAAGCGCAGTGTTAAAAAAAATTCATCGCAGTAAAAAGTAACATTTTTAATACCTACATTACATGTACATGTATGCGGAAAGCTTCCACCACTATACTTTGGAAGGCCAGTGAAGTTCTACAATAAAATTTTTTTCCCTCCCAATTTTTAAACATATTTTCCGACCCGTATCATTCTCTCAAAGTGCATGGGAAAAATTATGTCAATCTAAAACTCAATAAAATATAAGAAAGTGGTTTTGGACAGCATCAAAGCGAAAGAAACATGGGCTTCAAGAAAAAAAAGAGGGCTACCGACAAAGTATGAGTGGATGCTAAAGAAGTCAAAAGAATGTTTGAGAAGCCCGCATGAACAGCCCAGAAATGCCTGTGGTTTTATGAGCCACGAGCACCCAACATACTGGCCATAAAGAGATCAGAGTGGCGGTTAGCCCGTGAACCTCGCTTAGTCACTAGTTCGCTGACTCAGCGGACCTGGAAATTTAGCATTGTTAGATAATGCAAATAAGCTTGCGGGGCTCACTGACGATCGGTTGCCGGAAGGCGGAGTTCACAGATGGTAAATTTTGACAAGAACCCTTAGGCACTGGAGATGTCGTCCTGTCGTCCTCAGGAAACTAATAAGAATTGTGTTCTGTAACCAAACACCCGGCTCAAAAACTGCCCAACCTCCATCTAAAAATCATTACCCACTCCCCACCATAACATCAAAATATCATGACTTTCGATTTTGACATTTCTATAAATTCTCAGTTTCAGAAAATCATGACTAAAATGTGGTTTTCAGTCCAAAACTGTTTTAGAAAATAAAAACCACAAGTTTTGAAAAAAAAGTGCATCCCTCGCTAATAATTTTTCACCAAACCCGCACGCCTTTCAAAAGTAAAATCCGATATTCGCTGTCCACACCAACAAATAGCTGGTTTCCTCACATTTTTATGTGCAATAAGTACAGCTTTGATGTTGGTTACCAACTAAAATGTTAATGTACATGTATTACGTTACGTGTGTGCATGTGGATCTTATCATGGTGTGTGGGGCCAAAGACGTGTAGCTCCGAATCGACATGACTGGTGGAAATTCCGCTTCCTCGGTTCTTACATTTTGTAATTATTCTTTGTTACAAGTCTTTATTCATTAAACTGTATCTCACTTTCATAAACAAACTTTTTAAAACCAAATTCATGTAACAAAATGATACTATGTTCCTTTAAACAAAAAATTATGCACACTTGTAGTTGTACACATGTACGTTTTACATACGGTTGGTTGGTGATAAATACATCAAGCAGGACGGCAGCTTTCACACAAGACAAGGTCCGGATAATATAAGCTAATTTAGTAAGTCCCAAGGCCCTCGTATTAATGAGAGTCAACTGTAGAGAGTTCTAGAGTTATAGTTATGTTATTTATTAGCTGTTGTTGAGAACTTTGGATTCTGAATTTTCATGATTTCAGGGTATTAATCGTCCCTACATTAGTACAAGTACTTGTTTGTTGAGCTCTCCAGCTCTTTCTAATTTACTTAATTTAAGGATCTACCTAGCAGGGAGGATATGTTGCAGTACTGTATTGTGCACTCAGATTATATTTCAAGTATTATTAGTTTATTGATTTAGTCACAAATATAATTTTTCAACCTGTTCCAAAGATTTATTATTGTTAAAATATTTAACTTCCACAGTTCATCGCATCGAATAAAGTGTTTTACGGAAACTGACCTCTGGCCGAGCATTCTATGTTTGAAGTGGTTGAAGCTCGCTGGCGAATCCAAGTTATCGCTCCCAGCTACACTTGTGTGAAACCAGTACATGGGTGATGAGATGAACTCTGCAATGCTCATGTTTTGTTTTTGAAAGCACTCCTGTGATCAGGGATGTCAGAGGAATTGTATATGCAAACATTCCGGTCTACGGGATTGACAGAGCATCGGTGTGCCATGCCCAAGAATTGGGATGTCTGTCTGGTGTGGGGGGAGGAGGTGCTAATGAATTCCAGATCATAGCCAAACTGAATTGTTTGGAGCACCCACTGGATGGAGAACGTCCAGTACCAGGACCCTTGGAAAGATTGAAGGTGGCCACCCACAGGTCTGAGAGTTGGGGATGGCCAAGGCTCTAGAAATTCAGCGGTGCCAACCCCCAGAGAACTGAGAGGCCGCTGGCTTGTATGACTGGCCACTCGGGCAGGAGGGTTGGCCATAGTGTCAGTGAGAGGTATCTGCCACCGTTCGTGTATTGACCACAGCAGAAGCACAATGGCCAAAAGGCCTAACCCAGCAGGACCTCGCACGGTGTCCAGCCGGAGGCTAGAGGGGTTTCAATCTGCAAGGTTTTGTCTGATCTGGACCGAATTTTGATGCTGCCTTACAGAGATTTACATGTATCCTGCATTGATGCCTTTTGCTTTGGCCTCCATTATTTCCTGGCATTTGCCAGCGAAGAGGTCTGGCCCCATCAAGGGGAGAGCTTCAAGATGCTTTCTGGCTCCTTCAGATGAAAGGAAGAGGGCATGTAAAACATTCCTCTATCGACAGGAAGTCATGAGTGTTGAGATGCACATGAACTGCTGACAGAGTTGTTGCGATAGCAAAAGGTCGCAAACAGCATATCAGTGGGAATGGCAGTGCCAACCTCGCAGCCCCTGACAAGATATTCAGACAGCAGGAGCATGAAGGACGTAACACGCATACTAAATCTAGAGGCCCAGTCAGCTTCTGGAGGACAGTCACCAGCTTGTTTTTTGGTAGGGTCAACAAACAGTTTACAGGATGAGCCAGATGCACTTCCTTGTGCAGCCAGTTTATCTTTAGCCGTGTCCGGTACTAAAGAGACCATCATGTAATCATCAAAATCTTTCAGCGGAAAGCGAAAGAAAGCATTGGTTTATCAAATGCTGCCAACTTTCATGGTTGGCAGTATTCTGAGTATGCTTGACAAAAAATTGGTCTAGTGGATGGACCAGAAAGAGCTTAGAGGGTCCTGCAGGTACCTTCATGGCCGTGTGTTGTTTGAAGGATTGTTGAGAAACAGGATCAGGTTCTGGTACAGTTGACTCCGGGAGACCTTCAACGAGATCATGTCACATTGGACCAAATAGAATTATGTTTCCCAGGGGGACAGATCCTGCATATCCGTGGTATCATTCCCATTGACATCTGAGGAATGGTTCGATTGGGAGGGTCATGGTGATCCCATCATTGAAGTTTCAACCTGTAAATTGGGATCTCGGGGTTGGCAGTAGTCACCATCTCCAGCATTGGATTTTATCTGAGTCAGAAAAATGTGCCATGGGTGGATAGAAACTACCGGGGGTGAATCAGGAGGGCAACCAGGGCTTGAAGTAAGTATTGTTGGTCTGGATGAATCCACCCCGGGTTATGTATGCCTGATGTCAAGTCACATCGTGTCGGGGGACACTGCGATGCCAGGGCAAGTTTGTATACGCCCAGAGCGAACCCATCATGCAGAGCGTGATGACCCAAGCTGGGGGCGAACTTTTTTTTCCCCCAACACAAAATGTATTTATGAATTACTATGAAAGTGTGATAATGGTTTTAAACAGAGTAGTTTACAACTGCCGCATCACAGGTTTATTCCCTTACCAGTATTAAGATGTTTATACAGAGCAAAATGCTGCCACAACACTGGCTAAAAATCTGCAATGTAAATGTAAAGTAAATACTCCACCTTACAATACGCTCCAAATCATGAAAAAACTGATAACATCAATTATGAACATGACAAAATTCATCAGCTGTGTTACAGATCTCTCTATTACTCTATGGTTTACAGTAATAACACCCACTGGTGTCAGGTTTTGCTCCAAAAGGTGCATTTTCCCGATTACTTTTAAAGAGAGCTGTACTTTCATTCACTGTACGTTAATACACCCATGTTCATTTTTAATATTTTAGTAAATGTTGCTGCATGCGACTTTTAAACTTAGTGAATTAGTATCTTTCTTCTGAACTGACAGCTAGCCATACTAATTACCATATAGAAAAATGTCCATTCCTCTCTTCATACATGTAGCTCTGTTAGCCTATTTGAAGTAATGACAGACACAGTAGGAGGGGCTTATTTAAAGTGGGTAATTTTTGAGAAAACTCAAAAGATTTTACCACCAACCAAATAGTGCCCCCCCAACTGTGTCTGCCATATTTCAAATAATGCTCTCATGCAGTCCACTGTTTATTTGCATACCTTTTGTGATGACATTCAGAGAAAGAATTGAGCAAACCAACAGTTTGATGATCTCAGCACACAAGTTGACCGCAACTGGTAGGTAGTCAAACCCGCCATCTAAGCCAGAAAGTAAATACAGAAGTTCACAAGCAAGTGGTACAATTGCACAAGTATATTGAAATGAAATGGTCAAAGTCTTGCATGTACCTTTATATGAAATAAAAAATAATTTAAAAAAATATCACAACGGGAAAAGCTACATGTGCACGTACTCCCGAACAGCAGTTGTGGGGATATGCATGTACACTTGACATTTCACCTATTTTGTGGGGACCGAGAACATTGTGGGGACTCAGAAGTATCCCCACAACTCGGTTCAAATTTCCCTAAAAAAAGAACTTGTCCCCTGAACACCGTGAATGCCTACCCATGTTTATGCACGCTGCACACACTGGCATAACAACGTAGGTTTCACTTGAAATCTGGTATGCTTAAATACCTCCATGTACTTATAGTATTACTGTTATGTTCGCCCCTGGCAGTGTGAGTTGCGGTTGAATGTACATGTAGTATAGCGCCCCCCTCGTGGTCCGTGTGGTTTCTTCGCTTGAGCTACACAATTGTTCAGTCACGCCAAGCTTTAGTCCATTTTAGTGCCTGTCTTTCCATCATTTTTAGACCACTCTGTTCTGAGCGCCTTACACCAGAAGACCACTGGGGAGTTTAAGATTCCATGTACATAACTGTGTTGGTGATCACTGATTGTTAATTGAAGAGTAATTTGTAGCCTGATTTTCAGTCACATTTTGCCGCCATGATGTCCCTCATTACATCAATAATTTTCTTGTGTCTTATGAAAATTTTCCCTGATTTTGAGCCTTAACCACTTCCTGCCAGGGGTTCCGGATCCCGAAACGTATGCTTTATATGCGTGGCCGGGTCTCCGAACTCGGACAAAGAGAACAGGGCCTTGTAACAAAAGACCATACTCGAAACAAAAGACCAGGCTGCTGGGCATTACCGATATTTTTTCACTCTAATGAAAGTTGAGATAATCCTGCCTTGTTTTGAAACAGTATACCAGGGTTTGGGGCATTTAGAGCAAGCGGATTACCACCGGGGACAAAAGCGCTCCACCACCGCAGCGATGAGCCACACAGTACCGTTGCATGCTAATCTGGCCCCTATTGAAAAGAGGTCAGCAACGACTGAGCCAGGTTCGTGAACAAAATAAAGTTATATAACACTGCACAATCTGGGCTCTTTTTACAAGGCTGCAGACCTGGCTGAAATACTCAAGCGTCAATAGATTTTGTCTGTCAGGCCAGAATGGACACCAGACAGTCCTTCATGTGTTTGTAAATGTCCAGCAAATGAAGATAGGAATTTTTGAAAGAATTTTGAAAACAGAAAAAAAAATGATAAATATCCTGGCCCAGCATCATTAACATTGATAACTGCCCCTAAAATTTTCCAAAGTAGCAAGGCCAATTTTTCAGGGGATATGGTTCTAATGTTAAGTATTGTTTTCTGGTCAAGAAACAGTGGATATTTGGTCATTTTATATTTTAATATTGATGGCTATTGAATATTATGTCAGGAACTTAGTTCTTGTGTGCACCCGAGGCATGCCTAAGCACATGCACTAGCCATTTTTTCCACGATGTTATGAATATTCACGAGGTAGATTCCATATTTGGGATAAACTTTTCCTAATTTGGTAATTGCAGTTGTGCTGCAAGGTTTTCTGTGTATTTAGGAACTATGCCTTTTTCCTTATTTTAGGTTGCTGATTTCTGTATTCCAGACCTACATGTATAGGCAGTTTGAGGACACTTCATCTTCTGGAGAGGACAGTTCTGTATAGTAATTTTCAAAGATTATCTGCTGTGATACTTAAAATCCCTTGGAGCTTTTTGAGACAATTCTATGCATTTACTTTTACGATGTTTCTTATTCATGTACTGGTTTGACTTTTTTGAGCTTTCAACTTTTCATTTATATTTTCGTATTTTTAACTTTTTTTGTGTGTTTAATCTCTTGCCAACCTATGCAAATGCGTCCACATTGTGCTGAGAGTATTTTTTGGTATTTCTTTGTTTTTCAGTTTTACCTGTCAAATAAAGGGTGCTCTTGGCACTCCATGTTCATCATAATTTCAAAATGAGCACTCTGATTGATCCAGAAGTTTTCAGGTTGGCAATTTCATAATCAGATCACAAAACACAGGTGAAAGGTGTTTAAATTCGTTAGCAATTAACATGTCTCCTGAATAGGACAATAAATTAAATTTCTACTCCTGTGTCTGTTGTTAGATGTACTTTCAATGAAAAAATATAATGCCAATTTTCACATGTAAAGGTTGACAAAAGAACTTGTCGTTTTCAGATCCTTTTAAAACAAATTGTTCTTCTGGAAGTATCGTCAAAAAGAGTTCCAAAAAACATGTACACATACATGTCGTCACAACTGACTTTAGTAAGCTGCCGTTAAAACATTTTCTAATGGATAAACCTTGAGGTACATGTACACTGTGCATGTGCATGGATGAATAGTATTTACATGTACAATGGCATGGAGACACTAGTTAGTGCATTAAGATACACATGTATATTACAAATGTAATTCAAACAATATTCCGGTCACTAATAGCACAATAACAGGATTTACTGTATTTTCCCTCAATTTTTGTGGTTTCTGCTAGCCTTGGTCAAGGCGTTCATCATTCCTTGCAGCACAGCACGCACTGGCCGCTCAGTGACCTACATGTAATATGTACCTGCACGGATACGTACATGTACTACCTACACACAATGTACATTGTACATTACAAAATCAAGGCAAAGAGCAACCTCATGCGGCCTAAGGAACACGCAAATCATTTGAACCAGGACGAACGCCTTGGTGCAACCATCCACGAAAGTTTATGTTTTTCTTTACTCTGCGCTACATTTCTAGTGCATGACCTTGTATGCGAATATGAACAGATGGCAGACCTTCCAAGATGACAGCACCACGACGAGTTGTCTTGTTGCTTGATTTGCACTGCAGATAAATTAATGTTGGGTGATTTTCGTGCCAAGCAGCAGCAAGCCTTAGAATACTCTCAGCAGGTCATAAGATTTTCGTGACTTTGCCCACAGGCTACGGGAAATTCCTCACTCACATTAACTGTGAGGGTTGGGTCTACTAGAGAATACCCCTATCGAGTTCTGATCCGAGGTAAGTCGGGGACTGAGATGGAGACAGTCTTGACTTTTCTCAATTGATGATGAAGCCCAGGCGAGAAGAAATGTTGTAGGTTAGAAGAGTTGATGCTATTTTCTCTTGTAAGGTACGACCTACGATTTGCATGTGGTCCAGGTACTGGAAGCTCAGCACGTCCAGCTGATGTAGATGGGCAGCGACAGTCCTCGCACCATGGGTGAAGAACCTGAGGGATGTCAAAGACCGAAAGGTAGGGCCCAAAATTCATATACTTGACTCTTGTACATGAAGTGGAGAAACTTGCGATCCATCTTGTGGATAGGAATGTGAAGATATGCATCCCGGAAGTCGACTGTCAAAGCCCACGATGGCATTGGGATGGAGCATATTACTGTCAGTATGGTTTCCATCCTGAATTTCTTGGGCTGGATGTACTTGTTGAGTGGCTTGAGATTGATTATTGGTCACCACTTGTCAGTCCCCTTCTTGGGGGTAAGAAAGAAGGTTGACAGAAAACCATCTGTCATGCAGTTGGGATGGACGTAACTGATGGCATGCTTCTGGAGCAGGGAGTGAAGTTTGGCCTCCAGGGCCAGGCATTTGTCTCTCTTGCGTGGCACCGGGGTCGAACATAACACCTTGGACGGAGGGGTACTTGTGACCTCGAGGGAGTAGCCATGAGCAATAGTTGCTGGGGGCCTCCCTCCCTCCTCACCAGATCTCGGGAACCTGGCGCCCTGCCTTCCAGGTGAATCACATCAATGTCTTGGAGCTTCAGGCGCTATTCCACGCTCTGCAACGCTTCCTACCATACGTCAAAGGAAAAAATGTCCTGGTTCGCTTGGACAATTCTACATCCGTGGCGTACATCGATCACCAGGGCGACACTAGATTGGCTTCACTTATCAGGAGAATCTCTCATTGATATTGTTGTATTTATCTGCCAGAGGTTATATATACAGGAAAGCAAACAGCACCACCAGGCGAAAGCCTAGAAAAACACAAATACGAAAACTAGGTCGATATAAAGGTCAGTCTGCCTCCTGCACAAGACTGAAAAAGGAATGGCAAATATATCTATACAAGGGAAAACGGTCTTACCATTCACGAGAACAAGAATGAACAAACAAACAAGGTGATAGAGAAATAACACCGAAAACACAAGTAGCGAAGGAAAAACACTCGAAATTTTCGGAGCCAAACCAGTAACATGTCTGATAGTAATGGCACTAAAAACAGAGAGGAAGAACACGGTGGCCGCCTTCGCGGGAGTTGAGCGAGTTAGGGCGCCCACTGCTGGTGATCGAGAATTTAGTGAATAGAAGTAATGGACTAGGAAATAATGCATATGTATTGGTAATCTGTACATCATGGCTAGCTTTCAGGAGAAAAAGTCTAAACTGCAAGGTAATGTTTTGTTCCAGTGTTGTATCTGAGACCTTGATGTCCGAGACCAAGACCGAGACCAAGACTGAGACCTACTCCTTCAAGACCAAGACTTTGAGACGGAGACTTTTGCAGGTCGACACTGAGACCGAGACCACTGTTTGGTTTTTACCAAAAAGTAAATAAGCACAAACATATGGCAGAACAATTGAGTACAAAAGAAATAAAATGAAGACATTAGCATAAACTAACACACACAAATAGGTCAAATATTTGTTAAAGAATGTCTCAGTTCTTTTATCAGTGATACTGCTCTACTTTTACCCTGGTCTGGTCATTTTCAACCCGAGTGTCCCAAATGATATGATGTGAACATTAAAACAAATATCCCTTAACTATTTTTTTGTAAGCAAAATACTGAAAAACAAATATTTAAAAAAGATGTATCATGACGAACTACTAAAACAACACGTACCACATACAAGACAGAATGAAAGCACTTTCACACGTGCACACAATTTATAGTGTGCACATACACACAGACTGGTTCCCTTCCCGGCCCTACGTTCAGCAGGAGACTGCGGAACGGGAACCAGTCAAGAGTGCGAATTCCACTGCTCACAACCTCATCTCCATGGTGTAAAGCAGCATATACTACTCTGAATTGGAAACAAAGTAACAACTTGGGACAAGGTTGCATCATGCTGCACTGACTCGTCTTCATTCCAGCATCAACTTCATTGTTTATTGCAAAATTCTGAATATTACTGTGTTGTATTTATATCAGTTGAAGATTTGACTTCAGCATAGGCAATTTTGCCTTTTGCAACCACGTGCAGGCGTGGTAGCTAGATGCACATTTTGTTACGGTCTCGACTGGTCTTGAGGGGGAGACAGCATCCGAGACCAAGACCAGCGCTTTCGAGACTGAGACCAGCCCTCCCAAGACCAAGACTTTGACAGGGCGAGACCGAGACCGCAAAAAAGGACTCGAGATGGTCTCGAGACTGAGACCAGGTCTCAAGACCTACAACACTGTTTTGTACAAAGGTTTTGGGGTTACATGGAAGGGCCTATTGCTTACCTACTACCTTACTGCTTAGGTGTGCATTATGTGCACTGAACAAGAACTAAGAACATACATGTACATGTACTCGCACATGCAAACTGCAATGAAACTTTCAATATTACCCACCTTGATTAGCAGACAGTTTGATGAGGAGGACACGAAACCCTGCAAGTGTGATAAAGATGGTTGCCAGGGCTACAGTAATCAGAGACTCCCAGCTGCCTGCCATTGTAGTCAAGTCATATCTGTAAATAAATTCAAACGATCAGCTTTTCACAGAATTCTGTATTTTCAACAATATTTCCAATGCACAAGTACACATCCGTGCATGAGTACATTTATTAGGGCACACGTACAACATGTTTGAAAGAGAAATATAGTCCTAATTCAAAGGTACATTGTAAATTCCATGATTTTGTCATATTATGTGCATTACGTTCCTTTGAGGCAACAAAGCCTCTGAAGAAAGCTCAGTGAACAATGTGTATTTCAAGAAAACCAATATTCTAGGATTTCAATTTCAGATCAAAAGTTGCTGAATCATGTTAAGAACTCCACATGAATTTAGGGTCTCATGTTATCACATTGAATGCAGCTATGTGGAGTCATGCACAGAACTGGCAAATTACGGCTGCAAATGCACGTGCGTGCACTTCAATGATCCAAAAATGTGTCTTTACCTAGCAGAGTAGGAGTGTGTACAAACATGAAATCAGTTAGATTGACAACAGTCCCGAACCTGGCTGTTGAAAACGTGTACAAAACCTATGGGGAAAACTTATATATTCAAAAATCAATAAAAATTCACACGATGACATCCTTATGAAGTCATAAATTTGGCATTATTCTGCATGGGGGTCTTTGCTGGCTGTAACTTTGATGACGATTAAATATCGCCAAGTGACCAAAATCATGCCTGGAAAACGTGTACATAGTCAAAGGGCTGAAATAAATATTGAAAAATCAATAATAAATTACTTGATGACGTCATCATGACGTCATTGTTCCATCTATGCATAAGGGTCCTTCATAGGTACAAGTTTGATGAAGATCCAAAGTTGCAAAAGCACTAAAGTTGTGTGTAGAAAAAACGTGCACAAAACAAACGGGCTTTTGTGAAAGAAGAAGAAAAACTAGAGGTCATCTGTGTGTGTGCCAACAGAACAGAGGGCTTTTTGCATTTGTTTTGTTAATTTGGACAACGAATCTACCGTAGAAATCTGATGGTGTAATTATTTCATCATAACCATTCTGGTCCAAGGTTTCAACCGAATCAGGCATGCTTTTAAGAGTGCGTGTACTACTTATTTTAAATCCTCATCTGATGATCGTCACGTCAGGTAAATTTTTGACTACGACACTTCCTTTTCTTGTTATCTGTACAGTTTCAACTCGATGGAATATGTGCTTCAGGAGATAGGCTTTTAACCATGAACCTTTTATTTCATGTGATTTGCCTCCTCATCACGTCATCATCACATCAGATCAATATTCCTCTAAAGCCCTCCCCTTTCAAGATATCTGCAAGATTTGAACCCAATCCGACATGTACTTCAGGAGATATATGGCCTCAAACAGTGCACATTTAATGTCACGTGACTTGTCTCCTGATGACGTGAGCATAACATCAGGTCAATATTCCTCTAAAGCCCTCCCTTTTCAAGATATCTGCAAGATTTGAACCCAATCGGACCTGTACTTAAGGTGAAATGTCGATACTATGGTCAAACGTCATCAGGTTAATACAAATGTCCAATTTCATCAAGTGAGGGTGCACTTCAGTTTTCTCAAAAGGGGTTTGATTGCCCTATTGGGGATATGCTGCAGAATAGTATACGGTGTTGCAACAGTAAAATCATCTTAATACCAGAGGATTTGGGACTGTTAGAGCCATTGGCAAACACAAACTAAGAAACATCTATTTCAAAGACAGGAAGAAAATTATGCAAACCTCAGTTTCACACAATTCTTTCAAATGTACATTATTATTTCCCATTGTCAGTAACTGGACAAATGATTACTTTTAACAACTGTATCTGCGAGTGCACAGCAGCACAAACTCTGATTGTGGAATAAAAGCATGTGTTCAGAGCTACACTCAACATATTGAACAGTGAAACTGATCCAGAAGTTGAAGGATTATCAGTTAAAGAATGTTAAACTGTCCTTTCTATGTATAGAGGAAAAGAGAAAAACTACATGTATATTTGTGGTTTCGGACATTTCACTATTATTACATAAATACTGGTAAAGATTGTTTTGCCCTACATACTAAAAAAGACACGGGAACACCTTTAAAATATCAGGATTTTGTGACCGCTGAAAACTTTGCATAATGCTTCTGAAAGCTGTGTTCACCAGTTCTGCAGTAATCTTGAATAAAGCATGCTGGGGACATGTACACATATATTTATATATCTCAGGTCCTATTGGTTGCAGTTTTTTAGATAATTATGGTATTTTAATTAAGTACTGCCTTAGAACAGTCTTGATACGAAATGCATTTCTATCGACCACACCAACGTGTCAAAAGACTTTGTGTATGTGCTGGTAAAAATTCTTGTGTGTCATCTAAAACAAGGAAAATATTAATTCACTGTGCTTCAGTTATATGTTGAGGCTTGGAAAAAGGTGTAAGAAGTTTTAGCACTTTTGATATCACTTGGGTACATATGGAAGGAATGTTACAATGGGGGACTGGATATGTGGATATTGATCAATGAATGATTTGCATTAGTACATGCATGGGTCCCCCTCCTCTCTTTGCTTCATGATAGCATTTATCAAAACTGGCCATTTCTTGTGTGTTCTCACTAAATGGGGAGTACGTGGGGACCTGAATGTTCAAGGGGGAGGGGGCAGGCATGTGGCTGTTCATGGGGGCACCATTAATGTTGATGGTACATGGATATACTCTCCCAGACATACATTGTACACACAAACATTGATTCATCATGACTGCATTAATCAGAACTGGTAATATGTCTGTATGTCAATGTAACAGTAGGCCTTTTCGCCATCATCTGTTAATCTCCTTGCTTGGTTGTGCAGCAGCTTCCTTCAGTGTGGATGGCCGTGCATCTAATGTACATGTAACTGCAGTTACATTGAATTCTAAGCAGCAGCATGAAGGGTGCCTAGACACAAGAAACAAATAAGGATATTGAAATATTCAGCTGATATCAACACGTATCAAACACTGTGAACCAGTAATAATATAGTTTTGTCTTTTGGGGGAACAATGAAATATCCACATTGTTTTAAAAAAAAGAAGGAAAAATCTGCTCTCATGTTTTAGGGCATACATTTCTCTGAAGTGTATGATATAAAAACTGCTAACTTCTGTTCCAATATGAAGATTTCCAGACATTTCAAATGACATGGGGACCAACTGAAAATATCAGAATCTTTTGAATGCTAAAAACTTTGCACTATTCTTCTGTAACCAGTTTAAACAATATCTACAGTTGTTTGTCATTAAATTTTAGCAGTTTCATGTATACATACAAGTAAATCTCACTTCCTGTCGGCTGCAGTCTTGCTACCAGTAGATTGATGAAGCTGTTCTCATCCTTCTCATGATCACTCCTGCTTCAACTGCTCTTATCCATCAATGATACTGAGGCCACAGTGTGAAGACTGCCCTCATGTCTGTGCTGATAAACATCTGTATCATTGCCAAGGGCAAAACATGTTTATTCCAGGTGCAGCAGTTCATTTGTTGATGCATGGCAAAACTTGTTTCAAAACAAACAAGTGCAAATACAGAACATGTGCAAATACAGCGTATATGTGTACATGTATCCAACGGCATAGCAACCTTGCACTCTCACTAAATGGGGAGTACCGTATGTGGGGACCTGAATGTTAAAATGTTCATGGCGGAACCATACATATGGATGTACCCCCCACACATACATGTACATTATACACACAAACTTTGATTCATAATCGCATTATTCAAAACTTGCAATCTGTCTGTATGTCGAGGAAATCCAACATGTGTGAGGACTGCCCTCGTGTCTGTGCTGATGAACATGTGTATCATTGCAAAAGGAAAACCTTCATTACAGTGCAGCAGTTCATGTGTTGATGCATGGGAAAACTTGAACACAAATACAGTGTACATGTGCACATGTATTCATTGGCATAGCAACTTTGCATTCTCACTAGTTAAATGGGGAGTACGGGGGACCTGAAGGTTAAAGTGGAGGACCAGGCACTTGGATGTTGATGGGGGGACCATTTATGATGGTGGTACATGGATGCAACCCCCCCACACACACACACAAGTGTGTATT